AATACATACGACACATATATATACATATAGACTGAACCATTGCGTCTGTTCATAGTAACTGTCAATAACTACCGAACATAATAACTGTCAAGCTTATTTTCTAATACTTCCCCTTAAGCTAGACACACCCAATTCCTAACTTCTGTTTGAAGAGATCGAAGGCCCCAACTTGTAGTGCTTTGGTAAACATATCTGCTAGTTGTTCTTTTGTTCCACAATGCTGAATCACAATTTCTCCACTTTCAACAAGTTCACGAATAAAATGATATTTTATTCTTATGTGCTTACTTCTTTCATGATAAACAGGGTTCTTTGATAGAGCAATTGCAAACATGTTGTCAAATATATAATAGTTGCTTCCCCTTGATCTTGACCAATCTCTTTTAGGACAGCCCGCAGCCATAATGCTTGACAACCCGCACTTGACAAAGAGATATATTCTGCTTCGGTTGACGATAGAGCTACAACCTTTTGCCTTTTGGACTGCCATGATATAATTCCTGATCCGAGACTAAAAATATAGCCTGATGTACTTTTACTATCATCAAAGTCACCACCAAAATCACTGTCACTGAATCCCATTAGGCTTAAGTTCTTGGCTTTACCGTAGATAATTCCTAGATGGCTAGTTCCTTTGATGTATCTCATAATCCTTTTACCTGCTTCCCAGTCACTGACCTTAGGATTCTCCATATAATGACTTATTTTACTAACAGTAAACATGATGTCTGGACGTGTGGCAGTTAAATACATTAAACTGCCAATCATGCTACGAAACGAACTACTATTCATTACCTTCTCTTGATCCGCTTTTGAGAGCTTCAATCCATATTCCATAGGTGTAGATAAATGAATACAATCTTCCATGTTAAATCTAGATAAAAGATCCATAGCGTACTTTTGTTGAGATATGAAGATCATATTTCTTTCTTGTGTGACATCAATTTCCAAAAAATATCTTAAAAATCCAAGATCAGTCATATCAAATTTTTTCTTCATGGAGTCTTTGAAGCTTTCAATTAAACTATGATCATTACTTGTGAACACTAAATCATCAACATAGATGCAAACAATTAGAATATTACCTTGATCTCTCATGATATATAGAGTATGCTCATATGTGCATTTCAGAAAACCAAGCTCAACAAAATATTTGTCAATGCGACTATACCAAGCCCGTGGAGCTTGTTTTAACCCATATAGGGCCTTGTTCAATCGATAAACTTTGCCTTCCTCTCCTTTCTTCACATAACCAAGAGGTTGATCCACATAAACCTCTTCCTCTAGTACTCTATTTAAAAAAGCAGATTTTAAATGGACTTTCCAATCATTGTGGGCTGCAATGGCTAACACAAGTCTGATGGTTTCGAGTCGTATAACAGGGGCAAACACTTCTTTGTAATCTAACCATACTTTTGCTTGTATCCTTTCACTACCAACCTTGCCTTGTATCTATCAGTTTCTCCTTTCGCATTCATCTTTGTTTTATACACCCATTTGACTCCAATTGGTTGATGATTATTTGGAAGATCAACCAGACTCCATGTGTTGTTCTCCTGAATGGATTTAAATTCTTCATCCATAGCCAACCTCCAATGTTCTTCTTTGAATGCTTCATCAAATGTTAGCGGATCTGCATCTGCAAATAACACAAAATCAACTATATCTCGTTTTTCTTGGTCGAATTCTGGATGAGGGAGAACTTGATGAAGAACTGTTGGAAGATGCCGAGTTTGGTGTGTTAATAGGTATTGCAATGGGTTGATCTTGTTCATCCTCATTTCTGTTTTTCTCCTCGATTTCTTCATCCATAACCGGTGTGTTTTGCTCAGTATTTGCAGATAATCCATTCCAAGACTTATCCTCATGAAATATCACATCTCGATTTACAATCAACTTCTTAGTAATAGGATTATAAACCTTGTATGCTTTAGATCTCTCACTATAACCAACAAAGATTACTTTCTCAGATTTGTCATCTAAATTATTTCTTATTTGATGAGAAAATGCTAGACACCCAAAAATCAAATGATTGGTTTGTAACCACTCCATGCCTCTTGTGGAGTAATATTTGACAAACTTTTGTTGGGTGAACGATTTAAGATGTAGGCAGCACATTCAACTGCTTCAGCCCATAATTCATTTAGCAAATTCTTCTCTTTTAACATACTTCTTGCCATCTCAAGTAATGTACGGTTTTTGCACTCTGCCACCCCATTTTGTTGGGGTGTATAGCGAGTAGTAAACTGATGTAAAATGCCTTCATTTTGTAGAAATTCTTTAAAAACATGGCTATTATATTCTCCCCCACAATCTGATCTTAAAGTTTTAATCTCCTTGTCTCTTTGTTTTTCAACAAAAACTTTGAAGTTCTTGAATCTTTCAAAAACTTTCGATTTTTCTTTCAAAAAATAAACCCAGAGCTTTCTACTATAATCATCAACGAAAGTTAGGACATACCTATTTTTGCCAATAGATAATGTTTTCATAGGACCACGCACGTCTGTGTGTATAAGTTCAAGAGGTTGTGAGGCTCTCCATACCTTTTCTTGTGGAAAAGAATTCCTTGAATGCTTTCCAAGAGCACAACTCTCACAGGCCTCATTTGACACAGATAGTTTAGGCATTCCTCTTACTATATTCTATTTACACATCTGATCCAGGTAACCAAAATTAACATATCCAAGTCTTTTGTGCCAAAGTTGAGCCAATTGTTGAATGTAAAAGGTGAATCTTCAAGAAATCTTAAAGGAAACATTTTGTTGGAAGTCATACTAATATTTCCCAGAAGATTATGATTCAAGTCTCTAATTTCACACATGTTTTGTTTGAAATGCAGATCATATCCCTTCATTAAGAGTTTCCCAATGCTCAAAAGATTATGTTTTAAACCCTGCACATAATAAACGTTTTGAATCTTCTTGATGCCCTTCTTTGTTTTGACCGAAACATCACCAATCCCTTTCACATTTAGCCATTTATCATCACCGGTACGCACTTCCTTTTTGTAGGATTCATCAATAAACACGAACAAATCCTTATTACCAGGCATATGGTTACTACACCCACTGTCAAGGTACCAACAATCATCTGTTTCATCATGAGAACCAAACAACATAAATAAAGTCTCATGATCATTCTCATCCTGTTTGTGCACAAAACTAGCACCCTTTTCTTCTGCAATTTGCCTTTTACAGAATTTTTTCATATGTCCAAACTTTAAACAATGATAACATTGTATTTATGACAAAGGTCTCCCTTTTCCTTTCTCCCTGCTTGTATTTTCGACATTTTTTTCTTTACCGAGATCACTAGTCTTCTGTTTATCATATCAATTTAAACTTGTAGATTGAACTTAAAAGGCTTGATCAGATGATGTCGAACTTGTGTTGTCAAATTGTTTAAGGCTTAACTCATGAGACTGCAAAGTTCCAATAAAACTTTCTAATGTCATGGTTGAGACATCCTTCGATTCTTCTATGGCCACCACCACATATTCGAATTTTCTAGTCAGACTTCGAAGAATCTTTTCTATGATCCTGGTATCTTCAAGGATTTCACCATTAATACGCATCTGGTTAACAAGGAGAATTACTCGATTGTAATAATCTCCAATTCGCATCTTAGTGTCTGAACCAATTTGACTTTCTATTCCCCTCTATAAGTCTTATTCAACGTATCCCAGGCCTGCTTGGATGTATTCGAATTGGAGATTCTCTCAAATATCACTTCGTCCACTGCTTGATATATAAAGAACGCCTTCCTGTCTTTCTTTTGTATTTCTTTTAAATCCGCAAGTTCCTGTGTTGTTAATTTCGAAATATCATCTGGTTCAACGAATCCATTTTCAATGATGGACCAAAGATCTTGAGATTCATACAAGACTTTCATCTGAATGTTCCATTGATGGTAATTTCTACCATTAAGTTTCGGTAATTTGGGTTGCAAACCATTACCTGATAAAGCCATGGGCTCTGATACCAGTTTGTTGGGAAGATTAACACAACATACAAAGAATTGATAACCACAATACTGCAACTTTATTCATATACGAATCTGATGTTTACATCAATATTTACARAATACATACGACACATATATATACATATAGACTGAACCATTGCGTCTGTTCATAGTWACTGTCAATAACTACCGAACATAATAACTGTCTAGCTTATTTTCTAATACCTGTATCCCTTGGCATTTTTTATTTATTTAGACTGACGGTGTTTCAAGTAATGCCAGATAAGAGGCATGTGTATGAACCAGATAGCAAGGTGGGTTAAGTGGCAATATACACCACAGAAGTGGTAAGATCTTATAAGGAAAACCAGTTAAAAGGAAAGTTTTGGACAGGCTAACGGCAAAGCCTGCGATGCTGTTAAGTGGAAAAGCTGGAAAATCAAGGAGTAGGTTATGAAAAAAAACAACTGGCTGCAATGCAGATTGGCAAGGTCGATGAATGGTCAAACAGGGATCTATAGAATGGAAAGAATAAGAACATGTGGAAGATGGTGGATGGTATCACGGAGGAAATAAGGAATATAGCTTGGATATGCATCAGTGAGGACTGAATTCAAGTCTTGAAAATTAAGAATTAGGAAAAGTAAGCTAAATAGAAGCAGTTGGCAATTCAGAATGTTACTAAGGAAGCGTTTAAAGAAGGAAAAGGCAGGAAATCTAACGATGGGTGTTACCTCTCACCTTTCTAGCTTAACCCCATATATTTGGAGTGAAAGCTACAACTTAAGTTGATCGCGAATTCATGTCAACTAGAAGATGATTTCCACCTAAGATTAATTCGGTAATATTATGGAGGGATGGATTGTGGATGACAAAAGAGTAGATGCTGAATCACTATTTTGTTGAAATAGCTTCAGTTTGCTACACTTAAGGTTCAGCTAATACTCTTTATGTTTATGTTTGCAGAAATTGAACAGGAACACACAGTGATCACCAGATGTTAGAGGGATGTTCAACTTTCAAGCCTCAGAACAATCCCATTGAAAGATAGTTCGTTTGTCTTGAACTTGTAGTAACAGTAAAAGAGATCAACAAAGAGATGAAGGAGCTTTTAACACCAGTTTACAGGGCACAGGAAGAGTCTACACCAAGACGGTAAGATTAAACTGGAGTAGTAAATAAAGAGAGCTTTGTTTAGTTAGGTACTAGTTATTTGCATGATGGAGATCATAATGGGGGTGCTTGCATATGCATGCATTTGTCACACATGAAAGGAATTTACACCATCTGCATAGTAAAGAACTGTTCCAGATGAAAGTAATGCATAATGGATGTGTCTCTCAGGGATAATATGCCAGTAGTGGGAAGGCTTAGATAAATCATAGCCATTCCAGAAATGTGAGTTTATAAATTTATTGCACTCCTCGTAGCAGTAGTGTTACCAAGGAGAGGTGATGAGGGTAGAAATTCTGGTCAAAGTGAGGCAACAATTTTAAGCCCCAATGATTATGAACCTCTGATGGTGACTCCAAGAAGATTGGGGAAAACGGGAATAGTAAGAAAGTTGAAAATTTTCCAACATCAGGAATGTTGTAGTCTGGCTAAATATACAATTAAAATACAAGTGTCTGAGCTCCTATAGTTACTGCTTTCAGAGTGATGAAATCCCTACGAACTTAAAAAGTGATGTTCCCAGGAGTAAAACAAGTTCACTCAAGCTCAAACTAGTTCGCTCAAGCTCAAACCAGTAAGGATGAATGACGACAATCAGAAATCATCGTTCATTGAACCAGAACAAGTTAAGTGTGTAACTCTTAAAACCTTGGGAGTTGGAACAATGAAGAAAGAAAAAGGTGGACAAACGACCCTAGTTTCTACTAAACCAACCCAATAGGAGCCAAGGATGTGTCACATTGCCTTGTGAATGCCTTGAAGACCAAAGATTTAATGTATAGCTACCATAGAAAATTTTCAACTTAGTTGCATCCCCAGGAACAAAATAGATAACACTTAATTCCGACTTTTGGTGCAATATCGCTGAAATAAAGAAAATATAGGTCTCATAATCAAATGTTTTGATGCACATTACGAAGCCTTCAAACATTTTATAGATCATATATTCGAGCATCCATATTAGGGACTTCTTTAACACCATGAATACCAGAAGCAAATTCCTTCTCCATCCTTGTATCTCTCCCAAAGGAGGCTATGATAATCTAAGTATACAAAATCAAATTAAACACAATAATGGATGAACATCAGAAAGTGAACACTGATTACAATTGTAATAACATATGGATTTTTCTAGATATGCAATTTTCTTCTAACCAATATTCTTGTTGCTACTAGATCAGCTGAAAGCTTAAATTGGTAAATGAAAAGGACCTGAATTAATGAGGATCACAGTAGTAGGAAAACAATAATCTTATTCTTATCATGATACTTATGATGGTTTAATTCAATGCTTACTCATGCAGCACTGATGTCATATTATTTTGTATGTAATAATTTGGGATTCAGGGTAAAATATAGTCTCCAGAATTATGTTATCTTGTTAACCAAAGCACCAATAAATAGAGTAGAGTTACAAGCAGATCAAAATTATCAAACCCTAGAGTTAAACATTGCATCAAAATTACACAATTATCCTATATTTCTAAAGGAGAATTCTGTGTAACCACTATAGGACATATAGAAAGTAGTATTATATAGAGTCAATTGCCCAACCGTATTCATAAAGATCGTCACTTTGTAAGTATTGGTTTTCCATCATGTGAACCTCACCATAAAAAATGAACCTGTCTCCAATTGACATGCAAGGTTTCTAAGTTAAGTGTAAAAATTCATATCCATGAAGATCTCCTATCACATGTAGCCAAATGTGGGACAAGCACATAAAGAACTTTTTATTTCACATGCATTCATACACTAAAAAGATATATTTAGTAGCATGCCTTACTCATTTCTGTATATATAGCAATAATAGTTCATATAATTATGTTCAAGCATTTCTTTTTTCCCTCACTAGTTTTGGCAAGGAGAAGCAGTTCAGTTGAGGCAACAGCTTCAGTATTTGCAACAAAACCACAGGTATAAGTCCCTGAACTATCTTTTGCTTTCCTAAATCAAAGTGAGATAGTGATAAATCTTAAATGATGTTAGTTTTAAAGAAGTGTTTTAAGCAAGAGTACCTATTGAAGATGAGCTAGAGCTACACAGTACAAACCAAACCAAACAAACCCAGGGTATCCCCTGGAAGTAGGCTTTTTCTTTGGGAGGGGGGGGGGGGGGTGCAGACATTTCCTTTGTCTCAAGAGGTAGAAAGATTGTTTCTGAAAACAACCACGATTTGCAAAGATGAGCTACATGATGATAACTCAAAGGAAGAATTAAAGAATGTTTTAGCTTTTGACTAATAAGAAACTCTCACATACATCAAACAAATTGTTATAGAGTAGTGCATTTATAATGATTTTCTGATTATAAGCTACAAAGTTTTCCAGAGTCAATAACTGGCTAGGTGCTCTTGCTGAGTTACCCCTTGACCATCATTTGTTGCAACTATGTGTCAAATACCAACTTATAGAAACTAGACAAGTGTGAAACAGTGAGACATTTGGAATGTCTTAATTCATCAGATATAAAACAAACAGGAGTTAATTTAGGGAAATATAGAATATATGCGTATGAACGATTCAACTAAGACACGAGAGCATGGAAGAATGCTATTCATGTCATAGTTTCATCTCCTCTTTGTTTTCTTTAAGGGTTTCAATTTTAGCATACCCGGTTAGTTTCTCATAGAAGGATTGTTATTCTGGCTACATAATGACAGAAATTCAGCAAAAATATATGAAGCATGTTTAGAAGATTACCTCAAACATAGTCTTCGAGGATAAGAACATAACCTTTAATAGCATCCAAAGACCATATTCACCAAAATCATAAACCTTACATTACATGTAATGGAAGTGAATTTCTAATCATTTGCAAATGACAAAGAATGTTCATTTGACTTTAATATTCCGAACTCAAACAACTGAATGAGGCACTCCAGTAGTCCAGTGCCAAAGGTAAGGATGCATTCCTAATACATATCATACTCATAGCCAAAAAGGATTTTAAATAGGGAAAAAATCCATTAAATAGCAACCAACTTTCCGAAATATTTGTTTGATGACTCCATAACTTTTTGCCCAATTTGAGCTCTTAAACTTAATAATTTTGTCTCAATGTTGGAAACAAGTGAAGTAAAATGATGATGGTAACCATATAAAGTTTAGGGGCTTTTTCGAATCTTACAAACTTATTTAATTTTAATTTCGGATTTGAAATTTGAAGTTTATACCTTGTACAACTTGTAAAGCAGAATTCATTTTTGTTAATCCCCCTCCCCCCCTAAGCACCACTGTAGACTTCCCTTCTCCATCCCCCTCTCCCCTGCACCATTCCTCCCCTGCGCCATTCCTCCCCTGCCTCCAGCAGCCAACACAGGACTCCCTTGCTAGTTAACGCATTTTTCCCTTTTAAGTATCAAGATTTATGTTCCAAGTAATTCAAAGAAATTAGAAGTGAGTGGTCAAGCTACTAACTGGAACCCTCATAAATGTATACTGAAAGCGGTGTATAAAAAACATATAACTAGCAAATCGATGTTAAAGAGAAACAAGAGCGATAAGATCATAACTGAGGATGTAATTTATAATGTGTAATAGAGTTGTCTTGTACTGAAGTTGCATATAAAAGTAGAGTAAAATGATGACATATTTGAAGTAAAAGACAACCATTTGGAATGGAATATGTAGGATAAAGTGACATGTAATAAGAACGTATTCAAATGAGACAACAAAACCGTGTTATCGATGTTGCACCTTCAAGAAAATGATTTTGGGAAGAGAATTAATGTCATTAAACAGAAGGGACATAGATAGAGTACAAAGCGTGCAAAACGGCCAACAGAATGAAGCCTATGAGAACCCTAGAGGGAAACGATAACTAAAATTAGACTGTTTCTGTATTCTTAACAACACTTCTCAAGTTGGTGCATATTTATCATACATGGCTGACTTGTAGCCGGATGAATACACGTTCTCTAAAGGGGTACAAGTCATAGATACAATACCTTGTATTATAAATACCAACAGAAATCATCTGACCATTATGTGTAGCAATTCCTCCCAATCTAGAGCGTTCCTCCTCTAGAAATTCTTTGAATCATAAGATCCCTTTTAAATTGTTGTTGAACATAACAATCGGATATGCAAAGCTTCGTCTACTAGAAATATGTTGGCCTACAAGAGCATTGCAGCCAAAGCAGAACTAAAAACAATAGAAAAGAAAATAAATCGTAATATAACTAGAGCCTATAGGAATGATAAGATACCCTAAACACTGATATAGAATACTGTTAAGAAAACTATAACTAGTGTTGGTATTGATGCATTAAGTCAATGTATAATTTGGATAATATTCAAATGTTAGATTCCAGAAGAACCTCCCTCATGATGAGATACTTGAAACAATATGTGCACATAGAGGACCCTATGTAGAAATGTCTAACAAGTTAACAATGAGAAAAAGGTATACTTTATCCATTTCAAAGTACCAGTAGCGAGCTGGTCCACATAAATGTTGCACAAAGTTGATTGTTCAAGGAACAATCAGGCATCAGCACCGTTAATATACTTTAGAATCTCATCGTTTCATCTGCTTTTTACTATCTTTTTTTTTTTTTTTTTGAATACCTGATCAATAGCATCTAGAGTCAATGAAAAGGAGTACCCAGTGACATCATTATTGCAGGCAGCTGTTGGGAGAAGAACTTTCTGGTTTGAATGTCAATGATCTGCAGAAGCTGGAAATCAAACTGGAAATGAGTCTAAAAGGTGTGAGAAAAAAGAAGGTAGAAATTCTCATTCCCCCATTTTTCATGTTAATGTCACCCACAAAAACAACAGTTCAATTGTTACTAGAAAAACGGGAAGATAGAGAACCTTATTTCATAATTACACATAGATCTATATCACTCATATAGAGTGAAATAATATAGAATTTGAAATCAGGCCAAATACTTGACTGGGAACTGCAGCTCTAACTGGCGAAAAGACCAAACCTAAGATATTTACTGCTAACCCTCCTCAATCTGGAGGACAGTTTCCGAACTTGCCCACAGAACAGAACCTCCTCAAGTTAGGAAGTTAGGGCACACCCTACTTGACAAACAGAAGAGCAGTCAGGCTTCAGAAATAGAAGAATTTCCTTGTCTTCCATTTATATTAAACTAGCGAAGAATGAGGATATGCAGGCAAAACTTTTGATCCATTTGACGACCAAGAAAAAGATCAAAAACAGGTATAGCAACTGAAACCTAGCACAGCAACAGGCAGGTGAAACAGTAGGATACAGATCACCAGATCAGGAATGACCCAGAACAGAAATAGACTAGAGTCAGCCAGCTGAAATAGACTAACTATAGAGATCAATGTAACAGAAGCATAGCAGAACCAAACAGTGCTGACAAGCAACTAAAACAAAACAGCAGACATAGTAAAGCAGATGCAGACAGCTGAAGTGAAATAGTCGATTGGAACAGTGCAGGCACATAGCCGGTACAGAATGTAAACAGCCGCACGATAGAACAAACAGACAGTCATGAAAGCATGAACAGATGGACAACAGGAGGAGAGTTTTACAGAAGGCCACTAAACATACTTGAAATTCAATTGGAGCAGCAGACAGCATAAGCTACAGCAGAGACAGATCAGGTAGGAGGCAGCAGAAAATATCGATAGTAGATTCAGAAAGCAGCAAACAGCAAAGAAAAACCACAAGAACAATAGAGGAACGAACAGACAAAGACAAAACAGGTAGCAAGTAACAGCCGCTAGCCAGTGGGGGTGAGTGGCTGGCCCAACATGGAGAATCTTTTTTTCCAAAACCAAAAGTGGGTTACATCACAATACAGATTATCGACTACTGTAGATGAGGGAAACAAGAAACATAATTAATCCTAATAACTGCAAGCTTAAAGACCAAAATCTAATGTAATTTACTGTTGTCTCTGATGCTAACCGTACTTATTTCTTGTTGCAGGAACAAGTTTTAATGGATGAAGTAAAAGAATTAAACCACAAGGTACAAGAGCAACACAGTTGTTTCCTTAGATTATGCATGAAACAGGTTTTGATTGATAACTGTTGCAGGGGAGTTTTGTTGGCCAAGAAAATAAAGAACTGCACGAGAAAGTAAACCTCCTGCGCCAAGAAAACACAAAATTGCAGAAAGAGGTACTGGCCTAGACAGGCTCTTTTTTTGTAAAACAAAATTGCTTTGTTCTCACCGCTGAACATAGATGATCTTCACCTCAGGTTTATGAATTATGGAGCATGGCTGAAGCAACCAAAAGCTCAACCACAGATATGCATCACAAGAATTACGAGTTGCATGCACCCATAAATCTCCAGCTAAGCCAGCCACAGCCACAGAAGAACTGCATATCAGTAGAAACCATGAAATTGGGGTAAACACCAAAGAATGACTCTCATTTTATTGGTTATACATTCAGGCATGTGAAAAATATATTTAATGCGTATGCCAGGTTACAGTTGAACTCCAAAGCAAGTTGAAAGCTGGTCGATATCAGAGGATCCTCATATCAACTAATTGCCAAGCAACAGCCATATCATTGATTCGATCAGATATGTGAGTGATACATGCAAAGGTACTATGGTTGGTATGATGTATTCTGCTGAACAACTCCAAAGATACTGTAAAAGAATCAACCATGTACCATTGTATGGTGATGTTATGTTAATTAAAGAAGTAAAGATCTAATAATTGGAAGTATAGGGAGAGGTATGATTTAAGATTGCACTGAATATCATATGTTCTTTAAAGTGAATAGGCCTGTATTGTGGTATTGATCAGCAATGTATAGATTTAAACCACAAGACGATTAGCAAACTGTCTGCCCAGATAAACACAAGTGAATCTAGACAAATTCTGATAGCCAATATCATCTTACAAAGTGTAGGTTGCACAAACGTCTTCATCTAACGCCCAGTGAAGGAACCAAGTTAGGCAATAGAGAGACGATTGCATGTCCTTCCAGCTTCGCCTTTCAAAAAAGGGGAAAACTAATCATGCAAGAATCATGAAGTGCACTTATATTGATAAAGCTTCCTAACAATATGGAAGGCAATAAATGTAGATTGGTAAGACTCAATAAACTTCAAGGTTAACGCCACCAAATGCACAGTAATTACTAATCAGTCATATGAAAAGGAACTCTTTTTATCGTCTTCGATAAGACCTCCACTCTGCAGCGATCTTGATGGGAGTATACAATTTACGCTGGAGTGACTGTGAGAAACGGTTTAGTGACCGAGAGATATGTGAACCGTATGGCGATGTATATGGTACATTTTATGCAATGAAAGTTGCGAGCATCTCTAATCGCGGAGCATGACATGTATCGTGTAGATTCTGGTCAGGATAGTTTGTCATGGCCAGCCTGGCATTGCCCCTTGACCCTGCTAGGGGCTGCTTACGCTAGAACCCTGTAAGGGGCACGGCCTCCTTGGCTCTCGTCTTAGGCGGCAATATAAGGTGACAAAGGCAATAATCCTTTGGGGGGTTTTCATAGAGGAAAAAACAAAGGGTTCAAGAAAGTGGGTTTTTTAAAAGAGAGTGAAACAAACCCATTTTTATTTAGAAGGAAGGGTTTTCATAGAGGAATCAGTGGATGGTTGAAACAAACCCATTTTTATTTTGAAGAATGGAGAGAGTTTTAGCTAACAAGATTCTGAAGAAACAATGGTGGAGCYGGAGGTGGGTTACAGAGAAAGAGAGAAGGGAAATGGTAAAGTTAGGTTTATTTTTCTCCAGAAAAAATGCAGAGCTAAAATMTCCAAATGCAGAATAGTTAGGCTGAACTGGGTTGTACACTATACAGTAGGAACTTGTACATATTGCACATGGAGTTATAACATTATCTTGGATTTGAAAAAGAGTTCAAAAATCTGGATTATATTATGTTTACATTGCAATAAGAACAAACAGGTGCTAAATGGAATTTACAATGTGTGGGGTAAACAAGCCCCAAACAAGCCACTGTCTTTTTGAAGATTTTATAATGCCATTTCGATTTTCTGTTTACAATGTGTGGGCTAAACAAGCCACTGCTTTAGAAGTTTTTCGTTTATAATTTTGTACTTTATAGTGTCATAACAGAAGAATTGTTATTTAGGATGAGGCATGTTAATAAGCTAAGGATGGTAACAATTGTAAACAAGCCACTGCTTTAGAAGTTTTCCGTTTACAATCATGTAGATTTTATGTTTATTGGGCTGTTTATTCGTTTGCTAAA